ATTTATGTTGGCAAGGATTCAGATGGTACAAACCAAAATCTATTTGTGATACACTTTCTCTACATTTACAAGAACAAACTTTAATATAAACAAGCTAAACCCCAAGAACTGTTCTGGGTTCGAGTCTTGTGAAGAGACACGTATCTATATGTATAGTGTGATTAGTTTTCATGCAATAAAATTTATAAGAAATGCAATCATTATCTACGATACAAGTACGCTGCTGGTCATGGATAAAGGCAAAGAAAACAATCGACATACCATGCCGGATTCCTGAGACAGCTGAAGAATTTCATGTCTGCCCCTGGATTCACTTTAATCCAGAGATGAGGCATTTTTAAAAAGCAATGCACAAATCACGAACACATTGTACCTAAAGGCAGACTAGAAACTCAGCACATAAAATCAAAACTTACCTTCCTTGTAAATTATCCCGATTTATTGGAAAGCAACTTCAGCCAACAGTTTCTTTCGACCACTAAATAAGTCAATTGATTCACTCGTCTACGGTGAGAATCAAATACGTAGCTCATGCCAATATATGGCGCGGCAGTTCACTTATCTTTACATTAGTTCATGTCTCTGCCAATACAGGGCGAAGCAGGTTACATAGCTTTGAGTTTTCGACGTTTCTATGCGGGTTACAGGATACTCAAGGAGGTTAACGGGCCAGAAAATGTTCGCGGGCCCATTAGTTTATACCTTCCCAACAGATTGCGTGGCAATTCACTTATCTTTACATTAGTTCATGTCCCTGCCAATACAGGGCGAAGCAGGTTACATAGCTTTGAGTTTTCGACGTTTCTATGCGGGTTACAGGATACTCAAGGAGGTTAACGGGCCAGAAAATGTTCGCGGGCCCATTAGTTTATACCTTCCCAACAGATTGCGTGGCAATTCACTTATCTTTACATTAGTTCATGTCCCTGCCAATACAGGGCGAAGCAGGTTACATAGCTTTGAGTTTTCGACGTTTCTATGCGGGTTACAGGATACTCAAGGAGGTTAACGGGCCAGAAAATGTTCGCGGGCCCATTAGTTTATACCTTCCCAACAGATTGCGTGGCAATTCACTTATCTTTACATTAGTTCATGTCCCTGCCAATACAGGGCGAAGCAGGTTACATAGCTTTGAGTTTTCGACGTTTCTATGCGGGTTACAGGATACTCAAGGAGGTTAACGGGCCAGAAAATGTTCGCGGGCCCATTAGTTTATACCTTCCCAACAGATTGCGTGGCAATTCACTTATCTTTACATTAGTTCATGCTCTCGCCAATACAGGCAACTCTCAGTTTACGAACGAGTTCCATTCAAAGACGTTCGTTATGTGTATCTTACTTTAGCTTTTACGATTTGTATCGTATACGTTAGCAGCCATTTTAAAGCATTAAAACCATGTACTAAACATCGAATGGTCTATACAATACTTTTTATTATAATGTATGTATGCGCATTGGACCCTTGACCGCTTAAATTTTTAAAAATATATATTTAAGTCACCAGATGCAGATCTACAATTGACCTAGACAAAGCAAGTGATGATCCTATTATATTATAATAGGCTAAATCACCGATTTCGTTCCCACGAGAAAACATTCTACGCGGCGTGGCATGTAAACCAGTGTTTTTTACTGACTTGATTAGTTTTAATATCCAAGAACATTTCAGTATATTTACCATGTAATAATTCTCTGATAATCATTGTAATAAATACATTTAAAAAAGTTTATGTATTTAAATCTTACATTTATGCTCACTATACGTTTGGCATTTCGTTTTATAAGGAACTCTATCTATTGGCGAATTTAAGAGATTTTGTGACGTTCGTTAAAGCGAATGGTTGTAAACCAAGTTGCCTGTATTATGGTGCATGAAATTGTAGTAATACAAAGCATTGCCGTTAGGTAGCTCCTTCAGTAATAGTGATGGTGACAAATTCTACCGGCAGATAGCTCTAACAACAAAGACATCAAATTTGATTGTAGTGCTTCCAGTTTATGGCAACCAGGACTGTGAAGGCGGCGAAAAATTCTATTGGTAAATAGCTCTACCAACGAAGAAATGATATGTAATTGTAGTGCTTCAGTTTATGGCAACCAGGACTATGAAGGCGGTGGAGGAAATTGGACAGACACGCTGGTGTTAAGTGTCCATGTGAGTAGTAATAAACACACTCCATAACCCTAAGTTTTCTGTAGAGATACCGGCAGAACAAGTGCCTCTAGTCTCTGCTTATGATCAAAATAAATTTTAACAAAATCTATCAGAACAGGTACTTACAGATTCTAAAGAAAGAATTCTCAAGAAGGGTCTCAGTTTTTCTGCAAGCAAAACACACCTCCAGTGACTTTCCCATGAGATGCTGCTGTTAAAAATAATCAATAAAACCTAAACAGATGAAACAAACACCAAATCGCTGTTATGGTACAAATCAGGACCACGTAAATGTGGAAACCCGTGGAGAAATTTAATTTGTAAATAGTGCAGATTTACAAAGGGAGGTATTACTTGTCTAGGTACAACATATCTTGCAGCTTCTTAGTGACAGAAAGGGGGGGGAAATGGTGTCATGAGAGAGATATTACAATATCATGTGATGGTTTGTATTTGTTAAATAAACTTGAAATTAGCTGTATCATGTTTATTTATTGTGAATTAAGTCAAGAACATGACATCAAGAATGCCAAAGTAATTAGCATGTACCTGTGGGGTACATAATGCACCCCAGTGGTAATTTAAGGGCTAGAAGAAAAGTTCAAAGGTAGAAAATCTTTCAAACCCAACAAAGATATTAATGTACTACAGGCAGATAAAGTAAAGTTCACTGTGGTGGTCCATGAATCCAAGTACAAGGATAAGTTAACCTTAATCATCCTTGCATCACATCTTATGTGCAGTGAAGTTTCACGTGTGTTGCAGTAGAATGAAGTTAAAATCTGGTTCACACCTTTTCCCTTACATCAAATTTAAACACTTTGCTACAGTCTGGAGTTCATAAACACTTGACAAAAGATTCCATATCTAAAGTTCAGAGGCAAGTGCCATAACTTCTTTTGGATCACAAAAATGGTCTTTAATGCAAACTGAATCTTATGGATGGTCACCATATTATAAACTTGTTCCATAAAATGTAAAAATTGCACAATATTATATTATTAGTTGGCTTAATGTGAAGACAGCTGTACTGATAATTCACAACTGCAAACCCTTTAGAGCAACCAAACATTTAAAGTTACTAAATTTTGGTAGTTGCACCAGAATTAATGGTTGTGACACCAAATCATCATTGCCAGGGACTCATTTGTGAAATTAGGTACACAATGTAATGGGGAGTATGGCCTTAAAGTATTTATTTAAGAATGCTTTATACCTGGTACTAGGCAGCAAGAAATGCATATAGAATTTTGGTGGTAATATCTCATATAAGGAAGTCATTTGGAAGACTGAGAAGGGATTGAGATTATAGTATAGGGTTCAATTTAAAAGACATATTGTGAGGATTTAAACCATGGCATGAGTAACCACAAAACTGACGTGAAGCTGAAAGTAATCCTTCTTCTGTTCTGTGCATTTTCTGGTAGGTTACGGCATTTATCCTCAACTTTCTTGCCCTCATAATGTATCTGGATGAGCTCATCATCGATAATCGACGCCGTGGAGATCCAACAATGCCCCATGGTCATGATCCTACAGGCGAGGATGGCACCAATTTCAACAACCCCGGTTTCCGAGCCCGACGCATCAACAACTCTGGCTGAATCTCAATGACGGATGCAAGTGGTAAACCAGATGACCACCGCAACATCCTCAAACGGCTCTGAAGGTGGATCAGAAAGAAGTTGTCCGCTGATACATGACCAACCCTAAATGCATTCATTTCATACACATTATGTTAAGAACACATAACAAGATATCAGAGTTATGTATTGTTAAATTACACTGGGCTGTAAATGGCTGATGTTACCAAGAATCAAAATAAGAATTGTACAGTGAGATATTACTTTACCTGTACTAAGTGTTTGTACAAATGTCTTTCGGTTTGGTAACCTAACTCAATAAAAGTAATATCTATTTTCTTGCAAAATAATATGAAATAAAGTCTTAACTTTCAATGTCTTCTTCTTGGAAATGGAAAAAAAAAATTTCAATTCACACTTTCCTTAAAACAAGTTATGTGAGTCACATTTGTATGACATCACGTTCTCATTATTAATGTCCATCTTCCCATAAATCACAAATCTAACAAATTCTGGGCTCTGAGTAATATAAATTAATTTAAGGATTCAGTCATTAAATCTGTATTTTCATATCAGCTTTAAATACACACTTACTTGTAAGTGCTGGCCAAGTGATTAAAATATACCATCAGTGAAGTAAACTGGAAAGGACAAAAATATACTGTAAGAGACGTTTAATTACGCTAAACATAAAGGACTATAATGAAAATAGATCCCACTACCTTTGGAATTAATTTTAGATAGACTATGGTAACTCTGCAAACACTCATTACTTTGTTCTCACCTCTGTAAAAAGAATCTTCCCACTAGTGTTATTAATCAGAAGATTGAAGAAGGCTGTCTTCTGGGTTGTTGCGCTGTGCAGTCAGGTAAAAGTTTACATCCTTTCAAAGGTCCTGGCTGCCTCCATCATTGCCCTGATGATGGAGGCAGCAACGACCTCTGAAACGATAACTTCTACCAGACTACACAGCGCAACAACCCAGAAGACAGAAATCTTCAAACTCATCGCCCTGATGACGGAGGCAGTATGACCTCTGAAACGTTGGTTAACATCGACCAGACTACACAGTACAACAACCCAGAAGACAGCCATCTTCAAACTCACCACCGTGAATACTGCAAATCCTACAATCAGAAGGTTGCTGTCAATTTAAAATCTCAAAAATTCCATACATTAAATAACATTACTTTTTTAAGAAATATCTTGCTTTCATAAATTCTTATTTATCTTAGCTAGGTTTATAAATGTTTGGAGCAAATGCAAGTCTTAATACATTTTATTAACATCATTCATGTGTGTGCTCATATTAGGACTTTGATTTTAACATTGAGAAACAAAATTAAGGGTCTCTGGTACACAGACAAGTTTGTTGCATGAATATGGTTCTTAAGAAGAAAAGAGGCCTACAGCAGAGGTTATAACATTACTAGAATGAAACTTATGGGATGCACACAGCCTAGGGTTGCTTTTGAAAGCTACAATTGGGGAATTTACAAAAAAATATATAAACTTTTTTATGATTAATTAATATTACTAATAAATTCTCTATGCATAGCAGTTTATAACTATATATATATATATTAACTCTTATTTATATATTTAATCAAATGCATTTTCACAGTGTTCTTTAAATATACATTTCTCTTATTAAAATTCATTATCAATAAAACTTATTCACTAATTTGTTTGTTGCTAGCATATGTGTTTCATCTTGCAAGCCGTCATTAATATTTTCCCTATGAATGTGTTTGGCAAGAAAGGCTGTAATAAACAAATATTATTATCTAAATTGTCTTTTTTTATATATAATTTTTAAAATCATTTACTCATTTTTATACAATAATTTAACATAATAAATTACATATAAAGTCATTATATCTAAAAGTTTTCAAACTGCTTGTACATTACACGTAATTTATTATTTTAAAATATTGTAAAATAAGAGCTGGATTTAATGACTTAGACTTACGAAGATCATGATCATTATGAAATTATAGTCTTCAACATGTTCATATATTATGTGACAGATTTTACACATTATGTAATGAAGGACATTGTACAATATGAAATTTACAATGTACATATTGAGCTTTAAAACACTATTATGTAGGGCAGCTTAGAAGATGGCTAAATAAATCCCAGGTGCCTAGAAATGTCATAGTACCCCATATTTTTTAGAGCAATTATGTTTAGTTCATGTCTGTTTTGCTCTTATGAAACCCCAGCTCAAATATTATTCCATCACATAACTGCTCGTCGCAGGTAGCAATTTCAACACCAAAAGCTTTGTTTATGGTCATCTGCAATCATACGTATGATGATAAATAGATGGTAGACATCTGACAAATTTCTTTCAAGTTCTATCACAAAGAAGAAATTTTCACTGTTATATGAAATCAAACAGGAAAATACAAATGAGTAATCAGAAAATACAAGTGCAGTGAAACTGACTAAAATATTGGCAATTGAATTTAATCACAGCACGGGTTTTGCAGTATTGCAGCTTAGAATTTGAAGACTGAAATTTTTGCTTTGACATGAATTTACCATCAGTGACGATATTTATTCTTCATTTCCAAATCATCAAGAAATGTTCATATTCAGATGAAACCATACCAGAAATACTGGACTTGAGCATTGTACCAATGCCCCTGAAGAAGCTTTAAAGTCTGATGTTTCCTTCCTATGAAACTAGAGGATTATGAGAAACAGGATTTTCTTTACACATGTAGTATTACAGTAGCTGTACAGCAGTGTTGAGTCATTGGAGGAAGGAAGAACAAATTTAATTTTTATGTACTCCTTCAAAATACAAATTACTTACTCCAACGGTTTGAGTGGGGGAGATGAAAAATTCACAATTAAATTTATACCACTATGACAATGAGCTGCTAGAACACCTATAACAAAATTACAGTACTATCATCGAATATATTTCTTTTTCCTGTACACGGTAAAACGTTAGCATGCTTTGTGAAGTTTCTGTAATTCGAAGTATCAACAAGTGACAGTAACTGGCTGTTCCAACAATATTGGTAATAAGGTACCTAAATCTGCTTGTACATGACCGTCAATGACGTAACATACAGTAATTACGCTATATGAGGTTATGATATGAGTGAGTGCACGTTGTCAATACTGTAAAAGACAGATGACATAAACAGAGTACACATCAGCAATGATAACGAGAACGAAATTAAGAGAGACTGTTACAATTACAGAATGTATCAAACGTGAATGTAACCAAGAATGGGTACGGAGTTACTGACGCAGCTAATATGATTGAATCTGAGACATCTTTAAATTTATTTTATTCTCTCTCTCTTTTTATTTCAAAACTGAGGGGTAAGAAAGAAAAAAACAAAGAGAAAGAATCTCTGTGTAATAGAACATGATTAGAAAAGTAGTTAAAATTTCCTAACCTAAATGAATACTAAATTGGCGCAAAACAAGTTCATAAAATTCTCCAGTACTAAATTTTATTAATATCAGATTATTCATTTTCATGTGCATGAGCAGACAGATTGATGAAGTGAATTTAATAGGTGCTTCATACAATCTTGTTCACCTGAAAAGGCAATACATCCCATGCATTAGTGGCACGCTGAAATCCTTTTGCTTGTCATTAAAATATAAAATCATGATGGTGAATAATCATCTGGTTCCTAAATTTTTTGGGTTTGCTCCTAGTTCACAAGACAAATTGTCATACCCTGACTTAGAAAGCTTAACAACAAATAAATTTGCGAGTAAGTGTTGACAGTAATCAGTTGTAATAAAAATATTTTAGGTTATGTATTGCAATGAACAGTTAATAATAACAAAAGAGATAGCATTTGCTGCAAGAATTATGCCACCTATCATAGAGTGTTCAAGATCAAGATAAATTTATGTCATGCAGCATCCAGTTCACATACATAATCACCCAGTACAAATATTGGAGTTTAGTGCACACTTATGATCGTGATTTCGTAAATTATGTTAAACCATCATAGACAAAATTCTTCCTGGTAACACTTCTTTGTAATTCAACCTTTTCCTAAATATTAGGGGTCTAAAACTTAAAGTTATCGGAGAAGCTTTTAAGATAATTATCTCATATTCTAGTGTTCTGAGACAGCTATAAATTTATACCTCTGCTGCTGTTCAAGAGGCTTTGCTTCACTGATGTAAGTGAATGACAAGGGACAGGTTTGATTCGCAACAAAAGTGTAACTTATGACATTATTAGTGCAGATAAAATTTAGGATAACTGCATTTTTTTTATTCTGGCACATACAACAAACCCCCAATAATATGACACAAAAACAGACCATTTATCTGTGAGATAAGACGTTTGCTGCAGTTGAATGTAATTTAATATGGAAGTAGGGATACCAGAAAAAATACATTCCACCAAATGTGTTATAACTAAAGAAATAGGTTCTTCTATGCGACAGAAATTGCTCTCCTGTTCACTCTTAATGGAGGCGGCTCATAGGAAATCACATGTTTGAGACCCCCAGTCTTTATCTCCAGTTTCAAAAAAATTCTGCATAATGAAATTATGAAGTCAGCAGCTTGCAATTTATGTTTGCAGAAAAACCTTTATGATACTTTAATTCAATCAATTTATGGTACTCTACAGGATTTACAATTTATAATCTTTGGCATATATAAGAAATATTACATTTATATAACATAAGCCTATATACAGTTTGACAATGGCATAATATTAATTACATCAGAATAATAAAAAAAAATGTGGCTGTTGTTTTAATGTTGTAGTTTTACACATCAGAAACATGAATGTGTTCACCGTTCTTATCAGCATCTCGTACTAATATGTATTACGATAACACTGTTTCATTTTCAACTTGATTCATGAAGTTTAAATAAAGTAATATCGGTTTAATTCATCCTAATATTCTTAGTTCATTTATCAAATTTACTCTGTTTATACAGATATGCGCACACACACACACACACACACATACATGTACACAAACTGTATACGAGCCGGCAATATACATGATCACAAATTAATTTCAATCAGCTATTCACACATGAATGTTTACATGTTTTAAGAAGAGACTGAACAAAACAGGCAGTAGTTACAAACAACTATGCGTTCACATTTTAAATAGTAAAATATTCACTGGAATATTTCACTGAAAATAAAAACCCATATTTTTCAATATTGCAGTGGATCACACATCCCTTAAAAAAAAACACCCTGTGAACATTTGGCACTGTGCACAGTGGTATATTTGAAAATAAACCATGACTTCTGGGCCATCTGGAACATGGCAAATTTAATTATTATTATTATTATTTAGTACAGTCTCTCCCCTCATAGCTGGTACAGCAATTCACATTCTTTCTGAGCTGATATAATAAGCATACATGCCACTCTGGTAAAAATAAAATTAATTACTATACTAATGCATCCTTCTCAACCACTCAGTAGAGACTTTTCAATCCAAGCCTTCTTTTGCTTACACCGAGACTTCAGAATGTGACAGGAGCCTTGATTTCTGAATCTGGAATAACGCTTTTGTGTTGAATGTTTTGCTAAAACGTATCTTATTACTAACGAGTCAAAATTTAGTCTACTGAAATCATTATCGGAAGAAACAATACATCTACAACTTTTAAAATTATATGTAGGACAGCGTTAATACCGTGTTCAAGATGCCACTTCTCACTTTGTGCAGCTATAATCAAAACAACTACATAACCTTACTTATGGGAAGATGAGAATAATTAGTAAATTCTAGCTTGGAAATTTGTTATGGCACTACTAACATCATGAAGCAAGGATTTTCTTGAAAAGTCGTGCTCAGTCAGTCAAGAAGTGCCTCGCACAGGTTTATGACTGTGTTCGAAAAGGCCTGCCATCGGAAACTATCCTGAGCCACGATCACAGAAATTCAGCAAACCTCTTTCTTTGAACTTACAACTGTTGCAGTAACTCTTCTAAGATGAGATCCAAATTCTAACTTGATTGTTTCAATAAAATCAAATAATATATTAGTAGTTGCTTTCACTTCAATACAACGAGAAACTGAGAGTGCAATCGGCCACTGTGAAGTCCTAGGACTATGGAAACTCAGGAAACAAGGCTACAAATGCCAATTCTTGTGGAGTGCTACGCGTTATATGCGATTATTTGCTGTTGCTGAGACAATGTTTCAATACAAGCACAGCATTAACCAATCACAATAACATTTAATACCAACTGATTAAAGTTAATTCAGAAAATAGAGAACACTCCATTGTTCCTCTTTCATGCCTGTACCTCTAGCAGTTCCAGTCTTCACACAAATTCTTCATTATTTCATTGTGTGAAGTAAAGTTTAAATTAACCTATCATAAATGTTTAACTTCACAAATTGTGTTTCAACTCTGAGGTGACAGAGATGATATTGTGGACAGCAATGATTGTTATGAGCTGAGATGCTTTCAAGGAGACAGATATTGCGGAGTTGGTAGAACCAGTGACAGGGTCAGCATGGATCTTCTCAGTGGAAAATGACCTCTCCTGCGTGTAGTCGCTGAATCCTGCCGCATTCCAAGTTGCAACACGCACAACATATTGTGTGTTTTGGCTGAGGCCAGAGAGGATGTATGGTGATTCAGCTATGGCAAAAAAAATTAGTTACCAAATTAAATCAAACACCATTCCTGTTAAAAAAAATGTGAACCTCCTTATGGCAACCATAATTGGATTTAATATGTTGTTGAAAATATGCTTTACGTTTGTACATACCATTTATATGAGTGCACAGAATTAACACATCATAGAAATATTGTCTGTCTGTCCACCTGTTAAACCACGTTTCATCTCCGAAGCTACCTAACTGATCCTGATGAAATATGGTATTGTTAGTACATAATAAATAAAACACATATATAACAAATATTATATGAATTCCACACCAGATTTCTAAATATACTCTTCAAAGAAAATCAAACTTTATATTTGTTTGTATTTATCTGATTACTGTTACTAACTGTCCAGGGCAAGAGGTGAGCACTGAAATAAGTAGTAGTAGTAGTGGAGGCCGAGCGAGAACTGCTGGCACATGTGTAAAGGACTGATTTTGGTCGTATGAGATGGACTCGTCCGAATCACGCGCTAGAGGGGTGTCAGCTTCAGTTGGTTTGTAGCTCTAGCTGTGTTTAGTTCGGTGCGTCACCGCAGCTGAGGCTGTGCGACCCCCACTGCTACTGAACTCCCCTCTCTCGACTTACACATCGCTCATTTAGGTGCCACCACTACTCGAACGACCTCTAGTAATATATCAGTCTTCTTCTTCTTCACTTCAGGGATTAGGCTAAAGCCTGTTCCAACTTCACTCATAATATATCAGTTTTTAGATTAAATTTACAACATAGCAAGCGAAAGGACACATCAACAAGTATCAAAGAAAACATGCAATTAATACAGTTATTATCTGATCAGAAACGTGGAAACTTACCCTTATTAAATTTCACCTCCTGTGCTGAATCCCACCCTTTGTGCATTTCCTGTCTCTTGAGGTACTGGACACGGTACCCAAGGGTACCGAGCTCCTCATTCTCTGGACCTTCAATGTCAATCTGGACAGAGTCATGTCTTGCTCCACGGACAGACATCTTTGGTACTGCTGGCTTTGAGACTTCAATAAGTGTAATCACTTGCTCCATCTTACCCAGGCTGTTAGATGCTTTGCATATGTAGTCTCCAAAGGCATTCTTACTGCTGACTTGTACCTATACGGCAGCAATAATAAACACAGTACAATATCTATCTTGTATACAGGCACTGTTTATAATAGCAGGGGTCCGCAGTGGCCGCGTGGTCTGAGGCTTGAGCCTTGTGCCGCTTGGTCGCTCAAGCCATGGATGTTTGTCAGCGTTTTTCTGTGTTGTGATGTCCTGTGTACAGGTAGAGGCCTTGCGACGGGCCGATCCCTCGTCAAAGGAGTCCTACCAACTGTCCATAGATCAAGCCAATGAAAAGTTGGGACCCGCAGTGCTCAGGCACTTGAAGAACGGGTAGTTCCCAGTATCCCAGTTTATAATAGCAAGCATTTTTAATGAGCCAGCCTTTCATTACCAAGAACAAGACGAATCCAAGATTATTTTAAATTTTAAAATTATAAAATATTATTTATGATAATTCAAATAACAAAAGGAAAGTTGTAATCAGTCATGTGGCTTGAAAGCCTTACTTGCCTATATGTACTTTGCTGCAGGAGTAGAGGAAGGAATTCCTCAGGAAATTTGTTTATTTGATTTGTATAGTTGTTTCCTAAGCGTAAATAATGTTATAACCGCCCAGGGTTTGTGTAAATCAGTGAGCTGAGTCCTTTCCGGGAATATGCGTGGTTGCACCACTAACGGTGCATGGTTTGAATAAATAATTTCACAAATGATCTTTGATGATATTTGGCTGAAGTTTATTTTATTTAAAGTTGATTGCAGCGGTTGCTGAAATCGGTCTAATTTTGCGAAACAATTTGGAAACGACCGTTAGTGAAACGTGTCTTCACCCTCCAAACTGTGCAGATGAAGCGTCGATCCAAGCCAACACACACGTGCGGTGGAAAAATGACATCTGGAAGTCATGGCGTACAAACTGGAAATAACACCAAACACCCACTTTTTGTCTATCTTGGGCACCCTGTCCGGAATTGAAGTCAGGACTGGCAGGCACAATGTATAATTGATTTTAATAATATGGAAGGTGCTCGGAATTTTGCATTCTTGTTATATTTATAGTCATTTCTATTCTTGTTATTGTGATCATTAGTAATGACCAAAGCAGTTAAAACAATTAATTAACTTGAGACAAACTTCAAGTGTACCATCACATAACGCAATTTTCTTTCTGGCTACTGTAATGTTTTTAACAGTAATAAAATGTCATTAAATAAAGGATTTCAGATTGTTAGAATGAATGACGGGAACTTTGTAATCCAGTACATCTTCTGTGCTTTGATGATTAAAAAATATTATTTTCTGTTTTATTAAGAGATATACCTGCAATATAGTGCGAAATTCCTCCTGAAAGATGGTGGCATTTTCCTGTGATTTCAGTGTTTTACTTCCCTTCAGCCATTCAAATTTAGGTTTCGGTTCTGCAGTAACTTCACATGTTAGGTTGGCAGTACCAGAAATGAATGCGTAAGACTTCTCATATCCCTCCTCACCACGCCAAACTGGCTTGTCTGTCAAAGATACATCCACATTTTGTATTTCAAATTTAATTAAAGACACTCAGTGGTACAGAATAACAACAAGGGAAAGTAATAATATAAATACACGTAGACTGTGGGTAGTACATACAAATTGAACCTGTAAAGCTTAGTCTCCCATATCATCAAAATAAATCTTATCAATAAAACCTAAAAAAACACAAAGTACATTACCAATACTTACGTTCGATGTTGAGAATGATCGTACGAACCAGCACGTTGCTTTTGACACTAGACAGTTGGTATGCACGACATTTGTATTCACCTTTATCTTCTAATGTTACATTTTCAATGCACAGGCCATCTGCGACCACTTTGTATTTGGGCCCTGTAAGATTCATATTTTTAAGTTTACAGTGCTTAACTACATTAAATTAATAAATTCTTGGCTCATGGGTTCTCCAATTATGAAATGTTGTTTCTGAACGCGTGGCAAGATTTATTATTTATTATCTAACATATTCTTGGTTTTATCTGCAAAAAAAGGATGAGTATTTAATTTCATAACAAATGCCAAAAAGATATTACATCCTTTTTTGATATTCTGATACTCCTGCTCTAAATTCTAACTGCGCCCACAACAAAATCATCTCCAGGATCATAGCAAGATAATCAAAGAAGCTGCAAAGTGGCTGTCCTAAATACATATCACAGCATCAATATTTCTGTACTTTCCAGTGCCGTAATTAAATTCTTTCTTTAATTTGAACAATTTGTCTTCAAATACAAAGAAAGCGATCATTAAGAAATGTGAGAAAATCATGCAATGTCAATAATCCATATCATAAATCTGATCTATATTAAAATTACTCTCAAATTACTTTTGTTTCAATTTTAATTATGGAACAGTGAGCATGTGCAAATGAAACAATGAAAGACAGTAATTTTCTTTAAAATGTAACCAATATTAAAGTATAACAAATAGTAAAAAAATTGTGTTAATGACAAATGTTCATTATAGTCTGCCATATCGACTCCTCACAAACTGCAAAGATGAATAAATAATATCAAAAACCTTCACTTACCTTGAGGCAACTTCCCATTAACAGTCCAATTTATTTCGGGTTCTGGATCACCATCCACCTCACACGGCACAACCACGTTCTGGTATTCGCTAACAGTCTGCACTGTTGCAGTGTCCGCAAATTTGATGGGCTCTAACACGATACAAATAATCGCTATTAGCCACTGTATCTAGTTTTGGCTAGTCTCTCTATAAATTTAATTCTTTGTTATTTAGAAAGAGGAAAGGGGAAAGATAATCCAATCAATTAACAGTTTTAAATAACATAAGCCCCACTTAATGGTACCTGCACCTTGGGGTGGTGGGGCTTGAGTAACTCAGTGACCGCAAGAGCTACTGGTAGGGCCTCCCTAGCCAGATTGGTCGAGGGGGAGAGGTCAGACTAAGACAGGTACCCTGGTCCTCCAGGTTGGGGGTTGGTCGCAAGGCTAACAACCTTGGACCGTAAAAAGGAAGATGTTTCGAAACCTCAATCAAAGAAAGCCTCGGACAGACGAATGGAAGAGGAGAATTGAGGAGGCCATGGACCGAATACGGACCGGAGAGCCATGGAAGAAGAAATAACATAAGTCATAAATTTTACAGATAAACTAACATAAAAGTAGAAAAAATATTAAATTACGAAGGAGATAGCAGTTTGTACACTTTATTTGAGGTAAACCAATGAGATGATGTAGCAATCACAAGGGGGGAGAAGAGAAAAATCAACATTACTGCAAATTACAGAGGAGAGTAAATAGAGAAGAAGAAAAGTTATGAGACACTGCTACGACATGATATATTCATTCTGAAGATATACGAATTCCTTTTAATATATTCTGATTATCTGGATATATATACTCTTTTCCACACTGTACTGCTCTGACGCTGGTCAGCGTTGCAGCCACTCTCCTGCGATGTACGCAGTCACAGTGACGTCTGTACATGTGCAATGCATTTGATTAATTGGATAACTCTCTTAAGGTACAGAATAGAATTTATTTATATTCCACAGATCCTTCACAAAATATCGTAATAAAAATACACTAATTAATATTAACATAAAAACAAAAAGTTATTGTAACAAGCATCTAGATATATCATAAGTATGTTATATTATACACATAAAAATAATTATGTCAAAGGAAATATTTTCTTTAGCTATGGTGACAAACTACTGAGTAAAAGACAAAATATTTATTTAAAATCTATTTCAATACTGTTAATTGTAGTCTTTTAGATTGTGATGCAGCGTATTATTGTGTAGTTTGTTAAAACAGTCTGTGGTGTTTCATTCCATCGCATTACTACAAACCGTGTTCAGGAAAATGTTATAGACAGCTAAAATGTTAGGAAAACTTACTTATGACTATGAGCACGAAGCTAGCCTGAACTTCCTTGCCATCCACCATTGCTTTACAAGTGTAGTTCCCCTTGTCTTTTGTCTCTATAGACTCAAAGACGAGTGCCAAGCCAGGGCCTGCTCGAGACTCCTCTATATGGATTCTGAAAATTAAAAATTTAATTATTACTTTTACCCAATATTAAAAATAAACAATAGATTGGATAATAGAAAAACGTTTTGCTTGAGGACAATGTAATCTTATGCATTCTACATTTTATTTGCGTTGAATAGAACGAGATTTAGTCTTGTAATGTGTGTGACACCCTCGACACTTGACCTAAGGTTCGCGGGTCGATGGATTTTTAAGGGTGATAAAAATCCGTAGCACAAATTCCTTCGGAGGGGAAGTGCACGATCCCATGTCGTACATTTACGACATGCAAAAGAACCTTACGAGCATGAATTATATGTTTCGTAAGCAAAAAAATTCAGCGGCCATTTCTCAACCCAAAAAGTTTCCTGATGTACTGCTAGATGGCTCTGGCAGTCAAATCAGGATTGAGTAGAAATTGTGTAGATGGAGTGGGCTGGTCATTCGCTACTCACAGGTGCACACTTCAAAGACTAGGAAACCTCTGAAATGAGGCGGCGAAGACCCACAGCTGGGTTGTGGAGCCACAGGAAGAAGAATGTGTGTGACACCGGCACATTTATTACGCGGCTTCTGGGGAATCATGAATGATATATCTGTATAGTACAAAAAGGCTGTTGTGCACTAGTCTAAGAAATCCAATATGCGCAGAAAGTTATATCCGTGGACAAAAGTTTGTGTTCAGGCTTAAAGACTGATGAATGTTCGTATCACGACCTTCACGTGAACGGCATACGAGGTGCGATCGGAAAGTTTCAAGACTGTGTCAATAGAGGGCGAACCGGATGTAGTACGAGCTTCTGCCGCTAGGGGGTGCGGCCTA